AAAAAAAAAAAAAAAAAAAAGAATTTAAGATTGCCACAGCAGAGCACTGAGCATTAAACCAAGTGCTAGAAGCTTCTGAGGGAGGCCTGCGACTGTGATGCCAGCCCTGTTTGTCCCTCCTCACCCTCAGAAGCCAGGTCCTGCTCTGGGCTGTAGAGAAGGGATTGGGGCTCACAGTTCAGCATGGGAGAGGGCAGCCCAGGGACACCCAGAAAACGGAGATGGACGGGTCACAGGATCCAGGCCCAGGTGGAGGCCCAGAGGCGGTTATGGGTTCAGCTGCCCCTGAAGGATCAGGCAGAGGGAACCATGTATACCAAGGGCTGCTGGGAGCAGAGTGGATGCATTCTGCAGCAGAAAGGAGCTCCTCTTGGGGCTGGACCTGCGGTGAGAGAAGGGATGGGAGGCTGGGAGGCAGGCAGGACAGGTTCTCAGGTCTTCTAGGTTCAGGAGTACTTTAACTTTATCCTGAGCACAGAGGGACAAGGAGCAGGGGTTCATGGCAGCCTGAGGGAGCAGAGGGCAGTTTTGAGGCACCTCCACCCCTCCCTCTGGCTCACTCTGGCCCATTGTAAATCAGGCATTTAGTCTTGTTTCCTGGTAATAACAACTGACATTTTATGGAGCACATTTCATATGCCTGGCACCCTGGTAAACAGTTAACGTGTAGTCAATATGATTTTAACTCAGGGTACAAATACAGTTACTTTTTAATTTTTCTCATTGATTGCTCAAATCCCTCATGGATCATTATTGGCAGAAAAATCCAATATCACCCTCTTGGAACCCACTCTCAAATTGTCCAAGAACCTCGTGGGTTTCCCTCCTCCAAAGAGAGGGTTCTGTGGAAAGTCTGAGCAATCATCTCCAGTTGTTCCCTCTCTCTCCACACAGTGGCGCTGTGGAACAGCGGGCCTGCACAGTCCTGTGGCTTCTGAGGCTTGGCTACCTTCACTGCACAGGCTGTGGTGGGGCCTATGCTTCCAAAACAAAGTTACCCTTCTCTCAATCACCCTCACAAGCTCAACGACCTTTCCCCAAAGAGCAGCAGCATGCCGGGGTGCTGGGTCCTGTGGCTCCCAGTCAGCTACACAGTCTGCGGGGGAATCCCACAGACTCACTCAGGTTCTCTCTGGCCTGGTGAAGCAACTTTTTAGACAGTAGATTTTAGTTAACTTAGTCCCTTAACTCTTTCCTCCTCAAAGGCCCTGGCTTTGCAAAGTGGTTCCCTCCTCCCCTGCAACCAGCTCTGCATTCCAAGGGGCCTTGAAAAGGGGCAGCTTTTGTCAGGCCTCAAAAAGTCCAGTTCCACTCTTCCCCCAGGGTAATGGGTGCCTACTCAGCTACATTTACATAACTAAAGGAGACCACTCAAAGAATCCTACTCTTAACAAAGAAAGCCTGTTCCTAGGTGACTTATTCTGTGCACCTAAACTGAGAAGGAGCAGGGGGAAGCTTCTGGAATCCTGTTATATACCATGTAAACCAGTAAAATGGAGGGCTCTAAGAGAAGGATCCCACGGCTATTGTGTGACAGGCACAATTTGAACTCTGTGCCCTGCACACCTAACCCCCATACCCTACTGTCTCCCAAGAGCCTCCAGCCTCCCCTCCTTTTTACTTAGTAGTAACTTAGTCATAAATCTGTTTGTTGTTTCTGTCGAAAAGGAGGAAAATGTTATGTCCAATGAGCGATTGAATTTGTGGTGTTTGGGGGAGCCCAGAGTTATTAGGGCTGTAAGAAATAAATGTTTCCAGATAGTTATTTAAGCTATTGTGAAGAAAAACTTTTTTGTTCCGATGAAACACTATACATTATCTAAAGCACAGCCGGACCTGTCTGCTTCCAGCCCCATTCACGGTCTTTGAGCTATTTTGCACCTCTTTTTAAGTTGCAGGTACTGAGGGCTTTGCAAACCGTCTTGTCAGGTGAAGTTTCCATTGACTTCTCTTCCACACACACCCCCACACACCCCCACGGTGGAAAAACCAGTTTGCCTCTGTTTGCAATTCAATTCCTTCACTCCATATAAATTTGTGCTTTTTGATGTCTCCTTTGAACCAGTTATAACATCTGCCTTGCCCTTCTTATGAGTAAAATAAATCTTTAACACATGCTCATTTTTTATTTCTGAACAAGGGTCATGAATTTATCTTTTTCTGAAAATTGCCTTTTACCAATTGCCTTTACGTGAAAATGAACACAGATACGTTATCGAACAGAATGCAATTTTTGCTTGTATTTCTAAAACAAAACTTGAATCTTGGAATACATTGTATACTCGCTATAGACCCTTCCAAAGTGAGCCAAAGCTTAGAGCTCAATCCTTTTAGAGGCTTTTGCCCCCCGGGGATTTGAGAAAATATCTAGTCCAGATCGCAACCAGACAGAATGAATCCGAACGAGTGAGTGGGTGGGGCGCGAGCCCAGGCACTTTTTTAATCGCTCCCAGGTAACTCTGGCGAGCACCCGGGTTGGGAACTACCGGCCCGGGCTGGGATTGACTGACCTTGCCGTGCAGCCTGTGACCTATCACCAATCACCTTGGCTTTGTTTTTCCTCGGTGCGACCGAATCCCACAGGAATGCACGGAATCCCTGCCTTCACCCCTGGCGAAGCTTACCCCCTCGGGCTCCGACTGCCCCCCGCGGCTCCTCGTCGCCGGGCA